GCTCCTGAGCCTGCTGGCCAGCGAGCCGGCGGGCGCCAAAAACGACAGCGGCTCTGCCCTGGACGCCGCCGTGGTGGAGCCCATCGTGACGCTCCTCGAGCCTGGTGAGGGGCAGCCCGCTCCCGGCCTGGCCCCCTGTGCAATGGGGTGACCCCGCGCCGCAGGTGCAGGCAGCGGGCAGGTGCACGGGGAGCAGCGAAGAGGGGCCTGTGCAGCCTCCCCACGTGGGCCCGGCGGGGGCGAGGGAGCTGGCAGCCCCTCGGATCCGCGCGTGAGAAGCTTGCGGGCTCAGCCCGGATGCAGGTGGCGTCCAGCGAGAGGCACGAGGCAGCTCCCGCCTGGCGCGGGGCTCCCCGTGGCCTCCCTCCCCCTGTGGACAGGATCCCCTGGCCCCAGGCAGGGCGGGCTCAGCGCCTCCCCGCTGCCCCGTAACTCCGGGCCCGCTCCTGTTAGCTCTACCACGCCACGAGACTCGCCCCTCCAGGCAGCACTCAGGCAGAGCCCAGGATTGAAACCCCAACTGGTTTCCTCTCCCTTCCCAGCCTTGACTTTGAACAACCTTGGCTGAAACTCTTCAGTAAGCCCATCAAGGGGTTTTTGTTGTTGTTGTTGTTAAAAAGTGTTTATCCAAATAAACCAAACCACTTGCATTTGGGGATGCGACCGGTCACGCACGGAGTGAATAGCGGAGCAGATTTCTCTTCTGCCTGGTTCTTTTCACAAGGATGCCAAAGGGAGAGAAGAATCCGAGCTGCTTTTACATTGCTGAAGCTAATTGCGGGCCAATGACAGGAATGTAAATGCAGTTTTTTTAGCACATTCTCATCTCCGTGTGTGGGATTTACATATATAACTCCTATTAATGCTAATAGAAGTTACAGGCATCAATTTCTTTGCATAGGGGTGACACTGGGCCTTTTTATCCTCATCTGATGCAAACCAAAGCAGGCATTTTACATAATTATAGGGATCAATAGTTTCTTTTGCTTTTACATTTTTTTTTGCTTAAAGTTTTGGCTTTGTTTAGAAAATTTAGTGAAGAAATGCAAGTAAACAAAGATGCAAGGCTGCATCAGAACCTGGCTATATCCAGTACGATGTTCTTCAGAGCTTGTCGCTGGTTCTGATCCTGTTGCCCTTCTTTTAATAGACTTGGGTAGAGATCAGGATGAGGTTATGGCCAGTGATTTCTGCTAATTAAAACTCAGGAAGTTTTCCATGTTGAAATACGTTTAAAGGTTGAGTTGCAATGTTAGCATTTAGAAAATAAAATAACTTTTTCAATTCAGGGCTATTTTTCCTCATGATTAAATCAGCATTGTCCATTTGTGACAAAAAAAGTCCTGCTGGTAACATGTTTTACAGTGATGCTACTGAATCATACAAAGCATGTTGAGAAGATAGTGTGGCTTCCTCTATATGTAGAAAATACTTGCTTTCTTTGCTTAGTAAAGTTGTCCTCCTTTTGTTAGGAATTTCTGAAGATAATGCATTCCTGGTTGCTTTCAAACCAAGTAATAGTGACCAAAATGTTTTTTCCCCCATTTGTGTCTCTGAGATTGCAGCCTCTCCTCTCAGACATGACCACATCTTGCCACATTAGACTCATTGTGTCATCTCAAGATTTGACTTCTGTAATTCAAATTTTCCAAAGTAGATTCCTAGGGGTAGATCCTTAGCTGATTTTCATTGTTATAGCACCATTGTTTTGACAATTTACACCAGTGGAAGATCTGCCCTACCAGTGATTACGTTTATTCTGACTGCACAAGCAAGCATAAACCATGTTACAATAAAGTTTGAACACAGTCACTTGTAAACATGGTTATATTTTAATTGCAGACAGGACTTCTGACATCTCTGTCTTTCTGTTATGTTATGAGAAGTTGAGAGCAGCCAAAGCTGTTGAGTGAATAGCTCTCACTGATTTAATAGAAGATGGGTGAACTGGAAGCAGGGTTTCCGAAGTTAGGGGACATCTATAAAAGAATCAGTTTCTTTCTAAGGTTCATCAGAGCCAGAACCAGACTTCATTTTCTTGCAAGAGTATTTTGTTTCCATAGGACTTTGCATGAGGGGCCAGTGACAGAATCTATAATTCTTCTTTTTCTTGTTAAAATAGGTTGGAGTCTTTCATTAGCATTGAACTAAATTTGGAAATTATTCTTTAAGTATTGTTGTTCATATGCTAAAAGGCCATTCTGATTAACACAGCTCAGGTATTGAAATAAATGACAAAGCCATACTGACATTGAGGGATAGCACAGGAGCATAATTTTGACATTTCATGAATAATGTTGGGAAAAGTAGTTATCAGATTTTGGTATCAATTTATTACTATGGACTATGCAAAGTGCCTCTGTAGTATCAAACCTTTAGTGTAGAGCAATGGAGGCAGTTGCATATTTATGTATGCTGTTTGCTAATGGAATGGATCCACTCATTTTTTTGCACCAGAGAAATGCAAATGAATGTAAGGCATGAAGAAATATAAATGTTATGTAAAGTTTTAGTAGCTTACGAGAAGTGAAGAATGGACTTGTGTTACTGTATTTACATAAAACTTTGTAAATATAAGCCTCAAATATCAATAATTTAGAAACAAAGAAAATAAATGTGTACTGGTGGATATTTGTTAGCAGAAAAATGTATGCTCAGTAGGGTAAACTGCCAATACAGACTTGTAAAAACATCTGTAATAAACTTTCTTTGTCTCTGAGCATTTTAGAAGATTAAAAAGACTTATTGTCTATTCAGTGAATTCTTTGAAAAAGCACTGCATTAAGTTATTTACTTCCTCTACTAAACAGTAACTTTCTTTTAACATCCTTATAAGCATTCCACTTGCATGCTAATACTAATAAAATATATTATCCAGATTTGAATCCCAGATGGAGATGTGAACCTTTGCTTCTATATATTCTGTGAAACCCGTTCCCTGACCTCAGAAGTACCAGAAAAATGGAAGACGCCCAATCACAGTGATTAAACCACAATACCTAATTAAAATACTGTACCTGGTTGACTCATCACTTGTGCTAGCTGTCTAAACCTGACCTTGAAATGTGATGGGAAAAAAATTATGTGGGAAGGCATACATAAGCCAGAAAAAGCTAGGAAATGAGTTGACTGAATATTGTTTAGAGAGAATTTTGCTTAACTCTTTTAAGGGAAGACCTATAGTTTGCGTGAGGCTTATGTACTTTTTGCTTCTCAGTGATAGGTCATGTTAACTTATAATTATCTATCTATGTTTTCACTTGAAAATCAGATTAGAATGTAAATATTATTTGCACTCACTTTTCTGATATGTTTGGAAATAATTCTTCTGTTTTATTCGGTGAGAGAAAAAAACTTGGACAAAATATTTTTTTTTCCAGGTTTCAGCTAAAAATTACTAAGGCAGATTTTAAGAATTAATTTTCTGTTAATTAGGTATTTCCACCCCTGTGAAGAGGTTTCATTGTATTAGAAATATAACTTCAGACTTTATGTTCAGGTTTGAATACCACCACTCCAGTGCCCAAGCAAGTAGAGTTTGGACCATGCACAGTTACATGTGGTAAGTAGCAAAGCAGATGAATAAAACATATTGTAATTTGTTTTTTTTTAAAAAAGTGCTAACTGTAGCAAATTAGCAGTTGTAATTTGCTTGCCCTCCTTCACCTCTCATTGATTTCAATTTCCAATAACTATAATTAACAAAAACAATCAAGCTGATTGTCATTAGAAGTTTAGGTCAGATCTGTTGTTTTATTAATTTCACAGCCTGCAAGCTCCTATTTTAAACCAGTTCCCTACGTTAATTGGCACATGAGCTGCCTTCACCAAAGTAACAATTTTCTCTATTTGTGAACATCTGTGAGATGTTCAGAAGATGAAAGATCTTCTGATGCATCTCACAGATGTCTTCCCACATACACTATTGCCAAAAAATTGCTTGTCTGCAGTACTCTATTCTGTATTCTACATTTATTCAATTTATAAATTGCGCAATGGAGAGAAGAGGTATCATCCTGATGTGGGTAGATAGGAAGAAACTGTTGAGTACAAAAGAAGACATCTCTGGGGTTAGTGCAACGATAGGCATTGGAATGAAGTGGTAATTGCACTGCTTAGAAAGCACACATATAGCAAAAGATTCGCATATTCTATCATTTGTTATGAATAGAAGCTGTCTCATAGTATTGTAGGGCTAAGAAAGAAAGGGAAAAATAAGTTAATGAGTCTCCCCCCAATCTGATATAATTTCCTACAGTGCATTTTGTAACATTTTTCCTGACTAGTTTTCATTGTATGGAATGAAGGGGCTTTCACTACATCTATTGTAACACGCTTGTCCATCTGGATGTCAGGAGGATTTTCTTGATACCCCACTTAATAGTTCTATTTCTCTGTTTTGTCTTTTAAACCCCGATCATATATCTCCCAAAATAACATCACTTTCTTTCATACTCACAACCTTGAGATATGCAAAATTTGTTATAGCTCATCTCTCTAGCAGATCTCACAAATGTCCCTCTTTTTGAGGGATTTAACTCAAGTCCAGAAGTGGCTTATGCTCCCTCCAAATTTGATGTCCCTTCACATTAATTGCTTAAAATTGTTTACATATATACTAAATAATCACAACTTAGAGGTTGTGAGGCAGGTTACTTACATTGAAAGAATGAACCCTTCATGAGTTTGAGTTTTGAAAATGTTTTATGTCCCTCATTTTTGGCCTTTTTGATTCATGACATGCCATGGTCAGGCCTTGGTGGGTTGAGAATTACGATCTCAGTCCCCTCAGAAGAACTATTAAAAAACTATGCACATTTAATTCTTACATTAATGCTTCCAGCCTTCAGTCATTTTTATTGCTGTTTGTACTTCCTCCAGTTCCTTATTATCTTCCTGGTAATGTTATGGCTAGAATTCAGTATTTCCAGATGTGAGCTTACTGTAGCTTTGTAGACCCTCTAAGGCCTTATTTTCACATAACAGAGAAGCTATTTCATGTGTTTAGGTAGGCGGCTACATGTGCAGGCATTAAAGCACATTAACACTGTGTGTGGACTGACTTGGGCCTAAAGTTAGTCCAGTCCACACACACAGCGTTAATGAGCTTTAATGCATCTACACATGCATTAATGTGCTTTAACTATTCACACCTAAATTTGATACCTGCAAATGCAGGTATCAAATTTAGGCACGAATAACTTAAATTCACCATTTTTAATGTGCGTTAAGGGTGCACACATGTCGACACACATCCTTAATATGCATTAACTTAAGTGAATGTGCATTAAAGTGTCATGTGTAGATGCATCCAGTATTGCAGTAGATTAATGTCTGTAGAATTGGCAGCTGCTAAAGGGAGAGAGAAAGGAAAAGATTATTTGGAAGAAAAACTAGCCAAAGTGAAGTCAGGAGTTTCTAGAGAGTGCAGATCTCAAGATGAAGTCCTTTGAGTTAGTTCATATTTGATAGAGTTCCCCAGTTGTAATAGGTACTTAAAACAGGTCAAGCTATTTCCTGTTAAATGCTACTGCAGTGCCTCAGTTTTTTAAACCAGCCTTTTTGATGTTCATAGTTTTTCAGCCTTCTCTTTCTTGGCTCAAAAAAATGAAAGAAAAAAGAACTCCAGAGTAAGAGAAATGTGTTTAATAAAAGTGTCACTTCATTGCCATTTTCCCCTCTGTCTTTGCATCTTCAAAATGAGGCATTATCAGCAGTGGATAATGATCCCTAGTTTATGACAGTTCCAGTGAGTGTTGCTGTCATCCTCTTGTCACTTGAAGAACCATTTCATAATCTATATATGTCATCTGTAAAATAGTCTAACATCCATCCATTGGTATCATATACATGTGTCACAGCAATTTATTTTTCACGAGTGGGATTAATTCAGTATTCAGATCAGTTTCCCATTTATCATTACACTCCAGGAGGCTCTTACTTCTTTTCTTCCTGTGTCTCTGAAATTTAGTGAACAAATAGTTCCAGAATAATGGCAGCTTCTTTAGTGTTTATTATTCCCTCCCTACCACCCTGTCACAGTCTTTGTTATGTCAGCGAACTGCATGTGCATTTTTTGCCAAGAAAATACTACGCTTGTTCTGTGTGTTTCTAATTGTTCAGTGAGGTGGTTCTTATTAAAATGATGATATTTGAAACAACATCTATTATATTCAGTTGAATTACATATAGAAATTTCCCTTAACTTTCAAGATTTATGGTATTCTGCCTTCCACTCTTTGATAGAACCCTCCATATCTCAAGGGGCGAGGAGTCAACATGTTTTTCACCCATTCTCGCAAGATACCCTATGTTAATGGCTATCAGCCTGCTGAGGATGTCTGGATAGGATCCATTTAAAAGTTTCTCAATGTTTCTCATCCAGCCAGCACAAGTTATTGTAAAGTGATTCAAGGCACTCAGTCTTCTCTTAATCCTGTGAGGTATTTATCCCCTTCAGGTCTGATTGACTTCTATGAGAGTTAAGAGTGGCCAGAACATCACAGGGCTAAGAGCAGATCGTACATGCTACCCATATAGTGTTTTCTGCACCAGTTGACATGAGAACTGAGAGGCCTATGCAGTTTGAAATGTTTAAACTTTATTGTTTTTTAGCAGTATGTTACATTCAGTTTCACTTTGAATTCTTTTAAAATGAGAATATTAAGAATGACTGATACAGCGTGACATGGTGAGTATAAGAAGTTGTGTACTTTGTAGGGTTTGGGTGAGAAGGCAAAAGTAAGTGTTGCCAGACAAATCTGAGGTATAGTCTTAGCAGGTGCTCTGAAAAGGAGCCTTTTGTACAGCATAGGAAATACATTGACATCCGGGTTTGAAAGCAAGGAAAGAATGGAAAACTAAGTTATACTTTTTAATTTTTTTCCCCCCAAAAGGGATTGGCATTCGAGAAACTTTATTAACCAATGGTTGCCCTGGGAGTGAAACAAAATGTATTGTTCGTGTAGAAGAATGCAGAGGACCAACAGATTGTGGATGTAAGTAGATCCCTGTGATACCAGGATTTAGAGTGAATGTGTTTATTCAAGGCAGACAGCCTTATTCTTTGTGAGTGTGGTGGAAGTGGAATGAAATGATTGCATTCTACTCTCCAATTACCCTATTAAGCAATCTAGTAACATTTCAAATCTCATTTCTGTACTGATGTGTGTTTGATTTCAAGTCCTTGTAAAGTACCATTTTTCTGCTCCTCTTTCAATGTTGTAGATATGTGTGAAGTTATAAATATTTGACCAAACTGAGGATATTTTAAATTATTCTAATTGGAAGGATAATTTCAAAATAACATTTATTGCTGGATAAATTATGAACTTTACGGGATGCACAGAGCTTATATAGACAGTTAATGATCTATCTATTATAACTTTCCTCTTCAGGGGGTAAACCCATTTCTGAAAGCCTGGTTAGCGTGAAGATACCTTGTATTTTTGTACCTCCTGAAAATCGATTTACTTATGTTTGGAAAATGTTAGTTCCAGACCAGGTGAGTAACTGACCTATAGTTTAATGTATTTAGTGTATTTATTCAATGCTTCATTCATCTCATACAAACTCCTGGTTCAAGTATTTTCTTTCTATCTTTTCTTCACAAATGGGATCTTGCAGTGTCTCTTTGAGAGACTAATATTCCAAAACTAGTGTGTGTCCCCTCCATATGCTTCCCTCCGGTGGTTTTTGTAGAACACTAGTTTTCCTTTGTTGTTTAAGGTATCAATAATTTCTGTAAAGTAACTTAGAAAGAACCAGTTTTATTCTTTCTTTGAGTATAAATCTTGGTTTCCAAACCTACAGGTTGTGAATGGGTGTCAGTGGGTCACAAACACTTCCCTTCCCATTTGCTGAATAGTATGTACTGAATAGAGATGGAAGGGGACTTCAGGGAGAGATGTCCTGGCTGGGGAAACATGCTGAAAAAGTCTCTGAAGTAAAATAAGCACATTTCCGTACAACATTGATACAGTGCTATATATGTCTATAGTATTTTTTATCTATCTTTTTTTAAAAATATATATAGCAAGCACTTATTCTCCCGAATGATTCGGCTATTCTGGAGGTACACAGAGATACCCATCCAGTTGCTTTCCAGTGTGACACAAAAGAAAATGATGACCTAATTGCCTCTGTAAAATATACAGTATATACCACAGCAGGTAAGTCCATAGCAGTTCTTAAATAGTTAACATTTTACCATAGCACAAGCAGTATTCTTCCTGAGATTATTAGCATTGTACATGAGCAACTGGTCCTGTAGTGATAAGTGCCATACAAATACCTGTCAATAACAAAGAGATATAAAAGAAAATGATGTTACAAACAATGTGAGGTTCTTACAGAAGCAATAAGTAAATCCTTAAATTTGAAAACATGTAAGCTAGGATAAAGAGTTTCCTCCCTTACCTACTATTTGGTCACTATTGCTTGGTCAGCTGGAATAGGTCACAGGATTTCTCCTCTCACTGCTAGTAAAAGTCAGGAAAGGCAACCAGTTATGTGGAAGTGGACTTTAAGAAAATTTCCAGCCTCATGTACTCTCCCTTACAGTGCTTCTTGGATAAATCAGTCTTGCCTGACAAGACTTTTCATTCACCTCAGTAAAACAGACTGAGATACTTCCTGTACCTACCATTGGCTACCACTCATTTTTTTGCACCAGAGAAATCCAAATGAATGTAAGGCATGAAGAAATATAAATGTACAGTTTTAGTAGCTTATGAGAAGTGAAGAATGGACTTGTGTTACTGTATTTACATACCACTTTGTAAATATAAGCCTCAAATATCAATAATTTAGAAATGAAGAAAATAAATATGGGTTGAAATAATTCTTTCACCCAGTATTCAAACTCTTGAATTGCTTTTGTAGGAAGGGAGGCTTCTTTTGAGAAATCCCTATCAGCAAAGCACTTTAAACAGCCATGACTTATTTTCCTTTCTCCTTGCTTTCAGAAGAGTTCTAGACTGACTGGTTCTGTTCATCTTTCATGGTACCTGGCAGATAGAAAACCATCGTTTATTATTCCCTCAGTAAACAGCAGTGTGGTCATTGAAAAAAAAGCATGTCTCCTCACAATCCACTCACATTTATTTGGCTATAAATATGCTGTTACTCATCATATACTGCTAGTTCCTACTATAGGCAACTGTAATGGGTTGGTTAGTCTGCACATAATCTAATTTTTACAGAAGTTCCCAAATGATCATCCAAAAATTTATTTGTACCTGTTTGAGGCTATACTGACACATGATCAACTGACTTAGACATTCTTGACCAGTTCCTTGGGTGCTCTGTCCTAATTATGCTATATAGTGGCACAAGGGGGGAAAGAGCTGCTGAATCTCCCTAAAAAGGGAATCCCAGGTTTAGAACTGATGTTGCTACCTGCCTGTTACAGCTACGCAAATAAGGAACTAGGACGTAGTATGGCTGAATCTGGTCGTGTTCCTTCCATCTCCAGCTGTTTTTATTGGTAGCTTCAGCTAGGGCTAGGTACAGACATTCAAAAAGCCCAAGGTAGAATCGATCTAAGTTATGCATTTTTTTGTAAGCGGCATAGTTTAAATCAGTAGCGAACAGAACATGTTTGCTCTTTGATTGGGGGGAGCAAATCTTAGATTGGGTGTTGCCATTTTTAAGCTAGTCTGTGTGTGCTGAACTTCTGTTCTATTACGGGTATAAACCGGTTTCTGGTCACTTATACTGATAAAAATGTAATGTCTGTACCTAGCTGATGTGTTCATAGTTTCATTGTACTCTTATGTCAGTATTAGTAACTTAACAAATTGTGCTGTTTTTAATTCCCTTCATTTTCTGATAACCTTTCGCATGTTGATGTGTGCGGAACTATGCACAGTATGCCCTGTATGATCTTACTAGGGCTGCATAGAAATGGACTACCTAACGTATGATTTGTGTCAGGTGATGGTCCTTTTTACAGCTCAGGATTGCTTTACCTAATTTCCTGCCACCATATTGTATTGCATTGCAACTTCTAATTTACTATCCTTTACAGCCACTCAGTGTTTTTAGTGACTATGGCTGCTTGCATATGTGAAGAAAAAAATGGCACTTTACTTAAAACTTGGCATGCTCCCACACCAAGCCTACCACACGCCCGGAAGAGGCATTTTGTTAGTTGGACCCAGCTCGCCCAACGTCTGTATGGATCAGGTGCTTTCAATCAGCTTTAGATAAAAGCTCCAAAAAAGCATCACTGAAGCATCTGATCTATACAGATGCTGCGGAGCCGGGTCCAACTAACGCGCCGCGCTTCTGGTAAACCATGGGGGTTTTTCCCCCCCATGTCTGTCAGAGCCCTCATTTTCCAATTGCTTTGAATCTTCTGCAGTCATTTACACCTATGCATAGTAGGTGTAAAATATTACTATTCTGATTTAGATTTGCTTTTCATAGTACTAAGGGTTTGTACAAGGTGTTAGGAAGAATCAAGTTCTGTTTTTCAAAATGATTTTCCTTCCATTTAACATCTTATCTAGATGTTTGAGCCAGAATGATCATGGTCTTTCTTTCTTCCTTTTTTTCCTTCCTTTTCTTCCTTTTTAAGAATTGGAAACAAGAAGATCAAAGAGACCAGGAGCTGATGTAGTTCTGGTGTTTGTTCTGATCACGGGAGTTATTGTTTGTGTTGGCGTGATCTTCGCATTAATTTTCATAATTCTTCACTGGTAGGTGGACAGCATATAAATGTACTTTTAATGTTATTTGATCAGGGAATGATACTATTCAGTGTAAAATTGATGCTCAGATGAGCTAATTCAATTTTTTGACACTAGAATATTTATATTGCTAGTGGACGGTAGATTCAACAGCTTCTCTAGCTAGGGTAGCCTTGACAGAAATACTTTCCAAAGGAATCCTTTAGATTTCTCCTGGAAAGGGACAGGAAATTCTGTGTAAGAGAATATGAATATCTAGTTGAACTTGCATGTATGTTCAATTGTTTCTTCCATTTTAGGGAATCTGTAAAAGCCTTCTGGAAATCAAAAATTGCAAGGAGCTCCAAAGAAGAGCCATCAGGTTCTAAAGGGTCACTGAGAGCCATAGAGGAAGAAAGAGGATCAGCATTGGTATTAGGATCAGGATCAGCATTAGCATCAGGATCAATGTCAGCAGCAGCACCAGCACTGACTCCAACACCAGAAGCATCACAGCATTCACACGTAGAAAATAACATGCAAGAACAAAGGTCTTTTCATGAGTGGAACAATGAAGAAGAGAATTAGAAAGAAAAATAAGACTAAAAATGTTTGAAAAGAGATTAAAAGATGTTTAGAATACCTTCAGTATCAATTTTAAGAAGTGCTTTTTGCATATCATACACACTGGCTGTAAAGGACTGACTTCTAAAAATGGTGGGGTTGAACTACTTCAGATAGGTTTTAATTGTTTTCTGAGATTACTAGTTCTTTTAATAATCTGATCATCTCTGGTCCTGAAAACCAGAAGCAACATTTTCCAAAGGAGCTTGGAAATGGCATATTTAGCATTTTCACATTTTAAATATCAAATGGTCTGAATCAGGGTGTCAAAGAAATGACCCATGGGTCTTCTGTTGAATTCTGGCATACAAAGACCCATTGGAGGCACAAGTTGGTGGTGGAAGGGCAAGTGCCAGTAGTGCTAACCTCTGTGGCTCATGACCTGTACTATTTATTGCTGCAACCACTCACACCACCACTAGAAATAGGTCTAGATCTGGCCTGTGAGGAGCCCTGTGGTCTGGATCTGGCCTGGGGAGGATAAGAGGGTTTGACATTACTGCACTAGACCCATGGGAGCCAACCTTGTTGGCACGCATGCTACAGATTAAGCTCTATGCCTGCCCTGAGTACCACATGTATGCTCTTTCACTGCCTGATTTGTTGCTCCCTACCGTATCTGCCACTGTACTGCCTGTCCCTTCCCTGATCTACTATGTGCCACACACAAAGGCTACCCATACTAGTGGCACATGTGTTGCAGAGTGGCTATGCCTACTCTAGATGAAGATCATCCTCTGTAAAGTATTCACATGTGATTAATAACCAGCCCAAAGGCTTGAATATAATCACTGTGGCCCAGATTCTTCTTGACCCTAAGTGTGTGTGTAATGGTTATGGTCAGGCAGGTGCCCCTTTAATATATTTCACCTAAAAGAAAAATAAAATATTTTTGGCAGTTAATAGTTAATAAACTAGGCACTTAACTGGGACTTAGGTAGAAATTAGGGGTGTTTACACATGTGTTCTGGAAAGCGGGGTCGGGGGGGGAAGTTGCTTTAATTAGAGTGGCTCTGAGAGACACTCTAATTAAAGCACCTGGACCATCACATGTATCAGTGTCCCCATGCTGAAAAATGGTGGTGAGGGTGCTTTAACTAAAGCTCATTGAGCAAGCTTTAGTTAAAGCACCCTCACCACCATTTTTCAGCATGAGGGCACTGATACATGTGATGCTGGAGTCTGCTAGAGCATTGTAATTACCATGCTCTATTCGATTAATTGAATGTGTTCTGATGCTGTGTAATTAGTGCATTGGAGCAGCCTCAGTGCACACATATAGGTGCCCTAGGTACCTGAGTTGCAAAAGAGAATCCACAATATCCCTGCTTCAGCAACCACAACATTCATTATGTCCCTAATTCATTTGCAGCTATTTTTTGGACTAAAGATGCTTTACTGCCTGTGGTTAGGCTTCCATGCATACACAGAAATGCCTCAGATTGAATAGTTTGGTGCCTCCCTTCTACCAAACCTGCTATGATTCAGGTATGGGGAGGAACAGTGTCTTAATTGTCTGTCTAAGACCCCAGAGAGCCTCCCATTTATCAAGTGTGCCTAGACCATGCCTAATACATAGATACAGCATTGAATTCAGATACAGAATTGAAATGCAGCAGCCATTGTCATCTTCACAAATTGGACGGGAGGGGTTTCCCTTTTGTCTAACAGCCTAGTGGTTAGAGTACTCATGGGGAGTTAGGAGAGCTGACCTGACCATGTCAACTTGAGGGGTTTCAAATCCATTTCCCCAAGGGTTCTGTAACCCTCAAGCTATATAATAGCTGTATTGGGGAAACCACTGCCCCTTCTGTTGGAACTGAGCTACTGTGTAGCCAAAAATGGAAGTGCCCCAGTCCCTGAGAGAGAATAAGCAAAAGGGAACTGACTGTAGCCTACTAGTTAGGGAGCTTAGTTGGGAGTGGGCAGTCATAGAATCCCAGGGCAGGAAGGGACAGCAGTTTATCTATTCCAACCTCCTGCTCAGCACAGGATCACACCTGTCTAAATCAGTGGTGCCTAACCTGGCTTTACAGGCTGCACAAGTGATACAAAGCTTGGTTTGGGGACCAGGCACCAAGTAGGTTCAGCCCACAGGGGCCAACCTGTAAGCTAGATCTGGCTGCACAGTGGCCTTACCCCACACACTGTCCCAGCCCTGCATGCTGGATCCAGCTGTGCACTGGCCTGACCCTGCATACTGGATCTAGCTGTGGGGTGACCCTGAGTACTGATCTGACTGCACATTGGCACAAGCTAGCCTGTGGGGCTCCCCATGGTCGAGACATTTGGCAGCAGGGGAGCAGCAATTAATACAACCAAATTTCTGGACCTGTAGCCCCACAGGTCAGATGACATAGTTCCATGGGCAGGGTCTGGCCTGTGGGCTGGAGATTGAACAGTGCTGGCCTAACCATCTCAGATAAATTGTTGCCTAACCTCCACTTAAAAACTTCCAGTGAGGGTCCACAGTTCCTCTAAGTAATCTGTTCCTGCGTCCATCCTCATAGTTCAACCTAAATTTGCCTTGTTGCAATTCTGGCTCATTAGTTCTCTGGGTCCACATTAATTCTGTGGAGCCAGAGAACAGCTGATAGCCATCCCCTTTATAAGTTCTTTTTGTATTATAAAATTGTTACCAAATCTCCCCCTCAGTGGGCGCATCTATAAATGTGTGGCTAAAGCAAGTAGTAAATGACTGTGCAGAAACAACTGCGCAGTAGCAACAAGCGCAGTAGCAACAAGCTATTGTGCAGTACTGTGCAGTAGCAATAAGCTATTGTGCAGTAGCTTGTTGCTACTGTGCAGCAGCAGCAGCAGCAGCAAGGTTCATGCCTGCTGATACTATGTCGCCATAGCGACGAGCTACATTGACGTAGCTCGTCACTACGGTGGTATAGTGTCTTGTGTAGACACTCAGTCTTCTCTTTTCCAAACTAAATCATTTCAGTTCTTCTAACTTTTCTTATAGATCATGTTTTCTAAGCCTCTGATCATTTCTGTAGCTTTACTCTGGACTTTTTCCAATTTGTCTTTCTCTTTCAAGAAGTGTGGTGCCCAAAACTGGATACAGTACTAAATAGAATGGAAAAATCACTCTACGTGACTTGCATATGATTCCTCTTACTATAGCCCAGTATAGTATTAACTTTTTGAAACAATACAGAATCATAGAATCATGTAAAACTATGGAGGTAACTAGTCCAACCCCCTGCCTGAGACAGGGTCATCCTTATCCAAATCATCCTATGCAAACCCTTGTCTAACCTATTACTAAAACTACACAATCAACCCTGTTGTACAACTACAAGACATAGCATCCTGACCACAGGTAAAGGGTGGGGGGGGGGGCAACAGTAGTCATTGTTCTGTGGTTACAAGGTTTGTTAGAATACACTCGAGAGATCCAAAGAAGAGGGCCACACCATCCACTACAGAGGAAGGCAAAAATCCCCACTGTCTATACCAACCTGACCATGCAATAAAATTGCTTCCTGACCCCAAATGTAGCATTTGATCTGTGCCTGAGCAGACAGACAAGACTCTCTAGCTTAAACACTCTGGGTTTTAGTCCCCACACCATTGGCACATCCCAGGCAAAATCCCCAGTCTTGGCTGCAGCCAACACCCAATGTTTCTGAAGAATGAGGAAATAAAACCCTAAACCCTGATACCTGTAGCAACATGGGGGAAAAAAGTTCCTTCTTGGCCCTGTGTGGCAACCAGTGAAGCCCAGAAGCATTTTGCTCAGCAACCTGGAGACAGCAAGCATAACTCCACACATCACACCCTCTTAATGGACAGCTAGAACTCTCCTTTCTGTGACCCCCTCCATAATATTATCCAGGCATTTTTAACCGCCTTCCTAATTAAGTCAGTTAGGGAGACTTGTTGGCTAATTCAGGTTCCAGTCTACTTTAATCCTTAGTCCTTTTCTGCAGCCTAACAGTCATTCCCATTTTTTTTGGCATACCAAAGTCTAAGTTGGAAGTACCTAAGAGGTCAGTCAGAATTTTTGTACATTTGATTTATTATTCTAAGTGTAGTGCTTTGTTCTTTAAATTATTCAGTTTTATTCTATATTTCAGACTATTTTACCTATTTATCAGGATCATTTTGAATCTTAATTCTTTCCTCCAAAGCATATTCAACCTCACTCAGTTTGGTGTCATCCTCAGATTTACTAAATGTCCATTCAGGCTATCTTCCAAGTCATAAATTGAACAATACTGGATACAGGATAGACCCATAGGGAACTCTTAGTGCAATCCAATTATTTATGTACCCACCTTATAGAAGTTTAATCTAGATCATATTTTCTTACTTTACTTGAGAGAGTATCATGGGAGGCTATGTCACAAGACTTGCTAAAGTTGAGGTATATCACAATCTCTGCTCACCCTGCATCCATAAAGCACATCAACGGGCATATCTACACGTGCAAATAAACATGACTAAATTGAATATGCATTAAGCTAATGCACATTAAGTGATTTTTGGAGGCTGTATACATCTGCAGAGACTTGGGACTAAAGTTAGTGCACTAAAGTTACTGCCAAGTCCCTGCAGCCCTGCCATGTGTCCCTAGCGGATGAGCAGGCCCAGCATTAAAGTTAGTGCCAGGTCGTGTCTACATGTGCGTTAATGCGCTTTAACTAATCATGCCTAAATTTGATACCTGCATTTGCAGGTATCAAATTTAAGCACTATAGGCATTTTTACACGTGCAAGAGCTGCAGCGCTGGGTGCTTTGAAAAGCACCTGGTGCTGCGACACTTGCAGTTATATAATAGGCGAAATGTGCATCAGCACTGAGAAAATGGCAGCAGCGCGTTTTTGAACTAAAACGTCTTGGAGGTGCTTTAGCTCAAAAGTGCAATGCTGCCATTTTCTGTATGCTGATGTGCATTTTGCCACTTATACAACTGCATGCAGAGCAGCACAATTTGCCTCAGCCCATGTGCGAAGCAGACTTCATTAATTGAGTCTGCTCCAAAGCAGTGGATCT